AAATTATTCTACTAGCAACAGTATGGAAGATATACCACATGTATTCCTTTCTTCAGTTTAATGAACCCAAATTCCACTCTTAAGATTTCTTTTCCTCATCTCCCAACACAATAGAGGGAGAGGACAGCTAGGACTACATCTCCCAGGACTTGAGGGAAAGGTGTTAGTTCAGCTTTGGCAGCAGATGTTCCAATGCAACCTCTCCTTCACTGGCATTTGCATTTGGTTTGCATGTTGCCTTTTCCCTCTGTCAAAGGGAGGATACTCCTACCTGGGCAAGGACTACTCCAAAAAAGGCAATGGTGCAAGATGGTAGGCTGGCAAAGGGTCCTTGCCTTCCAGCAAGGGTTCTTTGTATTCCTCCTTACTTCCATCTCCCATCCCACCTGAACCTCTTTTTCTTTTATTCTTATTTTTAAAAATTTAATTAATTAATTAATTTGGTAAAGGGTCTTGCTATGCAGCCCAGACTTATAGTGATCTTCCTGTCTCAGCCTCCCCATGAATGGGATTATAGGCATGCACCATCACACCCATTGTCGGTGGCTGGCACAGCGCTCCTAAGGTTCTGGGGCCAACATGGTGCATGGTACTGGGGATCAAATCTGGGACCTTGTGCTTGCCAGTCAGGTACTTAGATTGCTGAGCTATCTCCCCAGTGCTTTTATCTCTTTCTCGATCCTCTGTCATTAAAACTCTTTTTTCTTTACCTGTAGTCTGTCTCTGTTTTATCCTATATTCCCCATTTCATAAGGGATGTCTGTCTCCCTACCTGTCCCTATGTAATATGTCTTCCTACTCCTGTATTCTCCCCATCTGTTCCCCTGCTTCTTCCCTTCTGTGGCTTTGTCTTAGGATATCTGAATTAGAGGGTCAGAAGACCTAGTATCTGGTACTGGCATTACCATGAACTCTTGTTTGGAGCTACTTTATGTCTCTGGGCCTTAATGACCTCAGCTGTATAGCAGATTAGACTGGGAGCTCTTTGAGACCTTCACAGCACTGAGGTCTTGTCACTCAATGAAATGATATCAACCAACCCATGCAACGTGGATGGTGCTTTGGAGAATCAGGCTGTGTGCCCCCAACAGTATAGGCACCAGGGGGCGCCTGAGGACTATGCAGAGAAAAGAGACTACCAATTGTTGAGGATTTACTATGTGTGGACAGGCTTTGTGCTTGCAAATCATTCCTATCTCATGAGACGAGTACTTTTGTCATCCATTCTCTTTCAGAAGCTAAGCACCATGAGCTTCAGTGATTTGCCCATGGTCATACACATGACACATGGCAGAACAGGT